CCCCCCAGTGTCCCCAACCCCCCCCAGCCGAGATGAGGCAGAGCCCCCCGGAGCGGAGCTTGGGCCAGGTAGGACCTGGAGGGGACACGGCGGGGTTGGGGACACCGGGGGTGTCACCAGGGGGTGGGGACAGCAGGGGGGGACACGCTGGGGGCGGGGACATGGGGGGGGGTGAGGACACTGAGTTGTCACCCCGTTGTCACGGGGACGGTGACACAGCTTTGTCTCCTGCTGGCGTGGGGACAGCGACAGCGGGGTTTGTGTCCCCCACGGGGACAGGGACAGTCTGTCCTCGCTGCTGCGGGGCTTGGGGACAGTGACGGGTCTGGGGACACTGACAGGGGACTGGGGACAGTGACAGGGGACTGGGGACAGTGATGGGGGTTTGGGGACAGTGATGGGGGTTTGGGGACACTGACAGGGGTTTGGGGACAGTGACAGGGGTTTGTCCCCTCCATTTTGGGGATGGCAATGGTTCTGTGCTGGGCGGTTACTGGTGGTTACTGGTGGGCACCATTACAACCATTTCCTCCCTCTCCTGGTACTGGGAGTTACTGGTGTTTCCTGGTGTTTCCTGGTGTTTCCTGGTGGGCACTGGTGGTTACTGGTGGTTACTGGTGGTTACTGGTGTTTCCTGGTGGTTATTGGTGGGCACTGGAGGTTACTGGTGGTTACTGGTGGTTACTGGTGGTTATTGGAGGCTCCTGGTGGTTCCTGGTGGTTATTGGTGGTTCCTGGATATTCCTGGTGGTTACTGGTGGGCACTGGTGTTTCCTGGTTGTTCCCAGTGTTTCCTGGTGCTTCCCGGTGTTTCCCGGTGGTCTCCGGCGCTCTCTGTTGACGCCATCCCCACCGTGTCCCCGCCATGTCCCCGCCGTGTCCTCACCGTGTCCCCACCGTGTCCCCACCGTGTCCCCGCCGTGTCCCCGCCGTGTCCCCACCGTGTCCCCACCATGTCCCCACCGTGTCCCCACCATGTCCCCACCGTGTCCCCGCCATGTCCCCGCAGGGCGCAGCGGCGCTGGCGCGATGAGCCCCGCGGTCGCCGTCCCCGCCGGCAGGATGCTGCTCGCCCTGGCCCTGGCCTGCGCCAGCCCCTTCCTGGAGCCGCCGGCGGCGCCGCGCCGCACGCTCAACGTGGCCGTCATCCTCAGCGGGGCCTCCTACGGCCCCGCCGGGCCCCGCCTGGCGCCCGGAACCTTCCAGAACTTCTCCCTGGAGGTGAACCCGGTGGGGGTGGTGCTGAACGACACCAACCCGCGCAGCCTGATCGTGCGCCTGTGCGACGTGCTGTCCTCGCTGCGCATCCACGGCGTCGTCTTCGAGGACGACACGCGCTCCGAGGCCGTGGCGCAGATCCTCGACTTCATCTCGGCCCAGACCTCCGTGCCCATCATCGGCGTCAACGGCGGCTCCGCCATCGTCCTCACGCCCAAGGTGACGCCCCCGTGTCCCCAGTGCCGGCCCCGGCGCGTTTTAGGGACGCGGAAATGTCCCCACGTGGAGCTGGAACCGACCGAGGGTCCTCGATGCAACTGTGTCTGCAACCCCAGCCCTGTCTAGGGTCACCCAAGTGTCCCCAGCTGTCCCCAAGCCAATCCTAACCGTGTCCAGAGCCACCTCAGTGTCCCCATCCCAACCCCAGCCCTGTCTAGGGTCACCCAAGTGTCCCCAGCTGTGTCCAGAGCCACCTGAATGTCCCCAACCCCAACTGTCCTCAAACCCCAACCGTGTCTGGTGTCACCCAGCTGTCCCCAAGCCCAATGGTCTCCAAACCCCAACCCCCCCATCCCAGCCCCCCTCAACCATCCCCAAGCGTCCCTGTCCCCAGTCGTGTCACCCAGCCGTGTCACCCAGCCGTGTCACCCAGCCGTGTCACCCAGCCGTGTCCCCAGCCGTCCCCAAGCCGTGTCCCCAGCCCTGGCACGCCCTCCCCGTTGTCCCCCCACCGCAGGAGAAGGGCTCCACCTTCCTGCAGCTGGGCTCCTCCACCGAGCAGCAGCTCCAGGTGATCTTCGAGGTGCTGGAGGAGTACGACTGGACGTCCTTCGCCGTGGTCACCACGCTGCTGCCCGGCTACGAGGACTTCGTGGACTACGTGGAGGTGCTGACCGACAGCAGCTTCATCGGCTGGGAGCACCGCGGCGTGGTCACCCTGAACCTGACCGACGACCCCGAGGGCGCGCGGACGCGCCGGCGGCTGCGCGAGGTGACGGCGCAGATCCGGCTGCTCTACTGCTCGCGCGACGAGGCCGAGGCCGTGTTCCGCGCCGCGCGCGACGCCGGCCTGGCCGGGCCCGGCTACGTCTGGTTCGTGGTGGGCACCAACCTGGGGGGCAGCGAGCAGCTGCCCGAGCACGTCCCCGCCGGGCTGTTCGCCGTGCTGTCGGCCGGCTGGCGCGACGACCTGCAGCACCGCGTGCGCAACGGCGTGGCCATCGTGGCCAAGGGCGCCGAGGCGCTGCTGCGCGACTACGGCTTCATCCCCGAGTTCAACAACGACTGCCGCGCGCCCAACGTCAGCCAGATCAACGACAACCTGCACAGGTGGGCGGGGACGGGGGACAGGGGCGGTGGGGACACTCAGGGGGCTCTGGGTGTGGCTGGGGACAGCGGGACAGGTGCAATGGGGACACTCGGGGGCTCTGGGTGTGGCTGGGGGACAGCGGGACAGGTGCGATGGGGACACTGAGGTGGCTCTGGGTGTGGGGATTGGGGACAGGTGCAATGGGGACACTGAGGTGGCTCTGGGTGTGTGTGGGGACAGTCAGGGGGCTCTGGGTGTGGGTGGGGACAGCGGGACAGGTGGGTTGGGGACATTGAGGTGGCTCTGGGTGTGGGTGGGGACATTCAGGTGGCTCTGGGTGTGGGGATTTGGGACAGGTGCGATGGGGACACTCAGGGGGCTCTGGGTGTGGGTGGGGACAGGTGGCTCTGGGTGTGGGGATTGGGGACAGCAGGACAGGTGTGTTGGGGACATTGAGGTGGCTCTGGGTGTGGGTGGGGACAGGTGCAATGGTGACATTCAGGTGGCTCTGAGTGTGGGGATTGGGGACAGGTGCGATGGGGACACTCAGGTGGCTCTGGATGTGGTTGGGGTTTGGGGACAGTTGGGTTGGGGACATTCAGGTGACCCCAGACATGCTTGGGGTCAGGTTGGGGACATTCAGGTGTTTCTAGGCAAGGTTGGGGTTTGGGGTGGGGTTGGGGACACTGAGGTGACCCCAAACACACTCAGGTGGGGTTGGGGACATCGAGGTGACCCCAAACACACTCAGGTGGGGTTGGGGACATCGAGGTGACCCCAGACACACTCAGGTGGGGTTGGGGACATCGAGGTGACCCCAGACACACTCGGGTGGGGTTGGGGACATCGAGGTGACCCCAGACACTCGTGTGGGGCCGCACAGGTACTTCATGAACATCACGTGGGGACAGAAGGATTTCTCCTTCAACGAGGACGGGTACCTGGTGAACCCCTCGCTGGTCGTCATCTCCCTCAACAAGGAGCGCAGCTGGGAGGTGGTGAGTGTCCCCCAGGGGACAGCGACGTCACCGGTGCCACCGCCACGCTGTCCCCAGGGCTGGGTGGTGAGTGTCCCCCAGGGGACAGCGACGTCCCCAGTGCCACCGCCACGCTGTCCCCGGGGCTGGCTGCCATCTGCTCCTCACGCTGCGTTGTCACAGCAACGTGACACCTGGGCGGTGACACCTGGGCAGGGACACCTGGGCGGTGACAGGGACGCGGCCGGGTGACACCTCAGCCAAGGTGATCCTGTCCTTGTCCCCAGCAGTGATGTCACATCGTGGTGACACCATGGCCTGTCACCCTCTGGGTGTCCCCACGTGTCCTCCAGGTGTCCCCAGGTGTCCCCCACATGTCCCCCACCTGTCCCCCACGTGTCCCCACATGTCCCCACCTGTCCCCACCTGTCCCCCACGTGTCCCCGCCGTGTCCCCACCTGTCCCCACCTGTCCCCACCTGTCCCCAGGTGTCCCCAGGTGTCCCCCACATGTCCCCCACCTGTCCTCACCTGTCCCCACATGTCCCCACCTGTCCCCAGGTGGGCAGCCGGGAGCAGCAGGTGCTGAGGCTCAAGTACCCGGTGTGGTCACGCCATGGGTGGTGACATCCCATCACCATGACATCCCATCACGGTGTCACCAGGTGTCCCCACCTGTCCCCCACGTGTCCCCACGTGTCCCCAGGTGGGCAGCTGGGAGCAGCAGGTGCTGAGGCTCAAGTACCCGGTGTGGTCACGCTACGGGCGGTTCCTGCAGCCGGTGGAGGACGGGCGGCACCTGACGGTGGCCACGCTGGAGGAACGTCCCTTTGTCATCGTGGAGAACATCGACCCCGCCACCGGCACCTGCATCCGCGACTCGGTGCCCTGCCGGCGCCAGCTCAACCGCACCGCCAGGTGAGCACACCTGGGACAGCTGGGACAGCTGGGGACACCTGGGGACACTTGGGGACAGGTGAGCACAGCTGGGACAGCTGGGACAGCTGGGGACACCTGGGGACACCTGGGGACACCTGGGGACAGGTGAGCACACCTGGGACAGCTGGGACAGCTGGGGACAGCTGGGGACAGCTGGGGACAGGTGAGCACAGCTGGGACAGCTGGGACAGGTGGGGACAGGTGAGCACACCTGGGGACAGCTGGGGACAGGCGAGGGACAGGTGAACACACCTGGGGACAGCTGGGATGGGTGAGGGACAGGTGAACACACCTGGGACAGGTGAGGACAGGTGAGGGACACATAGGACAGGTGAGGACAGCTGGGACAAGTGAGGGACAGGTGGGGGACAGCTGGGACAGCTGGGAGAGGTGAGGACAGGTGAGGACAGGTGGGACAGGTGAGGGACAGCTGGGACAGGTGGAGGTGACACTGCCAAGGTGGGGGTGACATTGCTCAGGTGGGGGACACTTGGGACAGGTGAGGATGGCACTGCCCAGGTGGGGGACACACCTGTGTCCTGGAGGTGTCACTGTCACCCTGAGGGTGGCGCTTCGGCCCTGGTGGTGTCCCCACCACCCTTGGGGTGTCCCCATCACCTTTGGGGTGTCCCCACCACCCTTGGGGTGTCCCCATCACCTCTGGGGTGTCCCCATCACCTTTGGGGTGTCCCCATCACCTTTGAGGTGTCCCCATCACCTTTGGGGTGTCCCCACCACCTTTGAGGTGTCCCCATCACCTCTGGGGTGTCCCCACCACCCTTGGGGTGTCCCCTGCAGCCCCCCACCCTTCGAGAAGAAGTGCTGCAAGGGTTTCTGCATCGACATCCTGAAGCGCCTGGCGCGGGCCCTGGGCTTCACCTACGACCTCTACCTGGTCACCAACGGCAAGCACGGCAAGAAGATCGACGGCGTCTGGAACGGCATGGTGGGCGAGGTGGGACCCCAAAAACAGCTCTCTGCACCCCAAAAACAGCTCCCTGCGCCCCAAAAATACTCCTTTGTACCCCAAAACACCCCTCTGTACCCCAAAAACAGCTCCCTGTGCCCCAAAAACTGCTCCCTGTACCCCAAAAACAGCTCCCTGTACCCCAAAAACAGCTCTCTGCACCCCAAAAACAGCTCCCTGCGCCCCAAAAATACACCTTTGTACCCCAAAACACCCCTCTGTGCCCCAAAATCACCCCTCTGCACCCCAAAAACAGCTCCTTGTGCCCCAAAAACACCCCTCTGTGCCCCAAAAATACCGCTCTGTACCCCAAAAATACACCTTTGTACCCCAAAAACAGCCCTCTGTACCCCAAAACACCTCCCCATACCCCAAAACACCTCCCTGAACCCCCAAAACACCTCCCCATACCCCAAAAACACCTCCCCATACCCCAAAAACACCTCCCCATACCCCAAAAACACCTCCCCGTCCCCCAAAACACCTCCCTGAACCCCAAAAATACCCCTTTGTACCCCAAAACCACCCCAGAACCCACCGGGGTCCCCGCCTGGCCCCGGGGGTGGGTGGGAAGAGACCCCCGAGCGCGGTCAGAGCCCCCCCGGGGAGGTGGGGCCCTCCGGAACGTTCCGTGGCCCCCGCAGGTGTTCTACCGGCGCGCGGACATGGCCATCGGCTCCCTGACCATCAACGAGGAGCGCTCCGAGATCATCGACTTCTCCGTGCCCTTCGTGGAGACCGGCATCAGCGTCATGGTGTCCCGCAGCAACGGCACCGTGTCCCCCTCCGCCTTCCTGGGTACCCCAAAATCACAACTGGGAATCCCAGAAACCCCAAAATCCCAACTGGGATCCCCCAATCCCATCCAGCATCAGCGTCATGGCGTCCCGCAGCAACGGCACCGTGTCCCCCTCCGCCTTCCTGGGTACCCCAAAATCACAACTGGGAATCCCAGAAACCCCAAAATCCCAACTGGGAACCCCAAAATCCCAACTGGGATCACCCAATCCCATCCAGCATCAGCGTCATGGTGTCCCGCAGCAACGGCACCGTGTCACCCTCCGCCTTCCTGGGTACCCCAAAAACCCCAAAATCACAACTGGGAACCCCAAAATCACAACTGGGAACCCCAAAAACCCCAAATCACAACTGGGAACCCCAAAATCACAACTGGGAACCCCAAAAACCCCAAATCACAACTGGGAACCCCAAAATCACAACTGGGAATCCCAAAATCCCAACTGGGAACCCCAAAATCCCAACTGGGAATCCCAAAAAACCCCAAAATCACAACTGGGAATCCCCCAATCTCCCCCGGGTACCCCAAAATC